TGTGTGTGTGTGTGTGTGTGTGTGTGTGTGTGTGTGTGTGTGTGTGTGTGTGTGTGTGCGGTTGTCTCAACATCACAGTGTAAAAATCTAAAACATGATCTAAATGAAAATCTGCTGCTCAGTTAAAACCTCAACGACCAAAACCCTCTACCCACAATCCCTCTGTGTTCTGGGCTCGCTGCCTGTCGTCCTCTGAGAGGTTCCTCCTGTTCACCGCAGCTGTGATGTCAGAGCGAGCGAGTCATGAGAACATTTGAGGTTTTTTTTCTTTTTAAAATTTATAAAAGCAGAAGTTTGAGTCTAAAGTCACAGAACGACTTTATCGTTAAAGTCAAAAACACTTTCATTGATTAAAATAAAAATGTTGCGTCGCCGGTTTGACGATAAAGTTTTTCTTTTTTAAAACGATGAAAGACGTGAATTCAGTCTCGCTCCAGGAGGAAGAAAAGAGTCTGAAGTGAAATCCTGTTAATCACCTTTGTCACGTCTCCGCCCCTCAGGTGTACGACCTGGCGTCTCCAGGTGAGAGCGTGGACAGCGCCCCGGGGTGCAGGCTGACAGACGGGGTGTGTGTGACGGCGGCGAGCCCCTCCTGCGGCGTTCACGCCTCCTGCCTCGCCGACTGGGGCTCGTTCAGCTGCGAGTGTCACCCGGGGTACACGGGACACAAGTGTGACCAAGGTGAGAGTGTGTGTGTGTGTGTGTGTGTGTGTGTGTGTGTGTGTGTGTGTGTGTGTGTGTGTGTGTGTGTGTGTGTGTGAATGAAAAACTGGATCTCAGGATTTAAGATTCTTGACTTTTCCTTCAGGTGCTGGGTTTTACTGACTGTCTGTGAAGTAAACACACGTCCCCGTGTGTCACTCTAACCCGTGTCTCCTCCTCCGTCCTCAGCCGTCCCAGAGTTCTCCTTCGACTCGGGCAGCGTTGTGCGTTATCAGCTGAGAGGCGGCGGCAGCTCTCGACGCACCAACGTCCAGCTGCTCCTCCGAACCAGAGCCACGTCGGGCACCCTGCTCTCCGTGACGTCCCGGGATGCCAACGAGTACATCGTCCTGGAGGTCAGTCCATGCCTCCGCCATCGGTCGGCGTCTGACTCGACTGTGAAGTGTTTAATGTTCTTCTTCTTCTCTCTCAGATCATGGAGGGTCACCTCTCTGTCCGGGCCAACCTCGGCGACGGTGCCGACGCCCTGCGGCTTCCCGGCCAGCGGGTGGACATCGGGCAGTGGGTCCTGGTCAGCCTCAGTCGCCATGACAACCTGTTCACCCTGCGGCTGGAGCGAGGAGGAGGGTCCCGGGAGGCCCAGGCCCGGCTGGGGAGCCGGAGGGAGATCGTGGTTCACCCAGCCAGCGTGATGGTCGGCAACGGACCGAACCCCGGAGACAAGGCGGACTTTCAGGGTGAGACCAGGATCTGGGTTCTGACCCGAGTCACCGCCGTGATGAGCGCTGGTTAAACCTGACTGTGTCTCTTCTGCAGGCTGTCTGCGGGACGTTCGTTTTAACGGCCAGGCGCTCCCTCTGGACGGGCAGAGCCGGGACTTGGTGACGGTGCTGGAGAGGCGGGGCGTCACCTCCGGTTGCTCCAGCGACGCCTGCAGCAGCCAACCGTGCCGCAGCCCGCTGCGCTGCATCGACCTGTGGAGGAAGCATCAGTGCAGGTGACATACACACACACACACACACACACACACACACACTGTACACACACACATCCCAACAGATGATGTCATCGACTCATCTCGTCCTCCACCCTCTGCGTCGTCTCCCAGGTGTCCCGGCGGTCAGGTGACGGTGACAGACGAGTCGGGACAGCGCTGCATGCCGTCGCCCTGTGGACTTTCTTCCTGCCGGAACGGCGGTGTGTGTCAGGCGCTGTCGCCCGACAGCTACCGGTGCCGCTGTCAGGAGGGGTTCAGGGGTCAGCGCTGCGAGCTGGGGCAGGTCAAAGGTCACCGGCTGGCCGCCCTCAGTCCCAGCTCCATCTTGGCCATCAGCATGTGTCTCCTCGTCTTCTTCGGTAAGAGACGACGAACAGGTTCAACAACATGAACCTTAAATCAACTTTAAATCATCTGAATGAAGCTGGTTTTCAAACAATAAAGTTTTTATCTGAACTTGAACTTGTATAAAACTTTATTTAAAACTTGTTTGGTTCAGCAGCTTCCTGCAGATTCACTGTCACACTTTTCTTCTTCTGCAGTAAATAAGCAGCAATAATAGTGTGTTATTACACAGTAATAATACTGTGTAATAACACAGCAACAATCATCAACTCTGCTTCTGGTGTAAAACTAAACATGGTCTGAAACATCTTACCTGGAGTGACTGTTGCAGGTGCGCTCTCTTAAAGTGACAGTACCTAATTACCAAAGAGAATGAATTGATTAACCTTTTCTACACATCAAATATAACCTTAAGTCAAAGTTAATAAAAACTTTATTTTTACTTTTCTAAAATCCAACTCAAAACATACGTCTTCTTGGACTATGATAAGAAAACTGTGAGAAAGGCGAAGCTAAAAAGATAAGAGCTAATCCTCCAGTCAAACAGCATGTTATTGTTTGGTATTAAAACACTTCTTAGCAACAGTTTTCTGAAGTCAAGGAAGGTGGATGATTATCAGTTTATCAACAAGAGGAAATATTGATCACTACGTTAAACAAAAACAAACTTATGTAACAGTGTTCTGTAGCGATCAATATGTTTTCCATCAGCATCGATCAGACAGCGCTGACGTAAAAGTTACACAACAATCAAGTGTTACATCTCGAACTTTTAGGACGTCAGATCATCTGATGAACTCGTAATGATACCTGGCCTCTGCTCTCTATCAGTTAAGACTTCATTTCCCATCAGCCCTCTCTCTTCCTGCTCTCCCTTAAAGACGACGAAGGTGAATATGGAAACAGGTTCCTCTAAATTCCACCTGAAAAAAACCAGAGTGAAGGATGTTAAAGACTCTCCTGCCTCGTTTGTGTTTCACCTGTTTCTATTGATTGATGTGATGATTGATTAATAAAATGTTTCCAAATGAACATTAAATCCTCAGAGAAGCTTTAATGAGCTGCTGCAATGAAGCGACAGGAAGGAAGTGAAACGTTTCCCCGCGGCACAGAGTCACATTCACACAAGAAGATGCTTATTTATACTGTCCTCTTTTCTCCGTGTGTGTGTGTGTGTGTGTGTGTGTGTGTGTGTGTGTGTGTGTGTGTAGCGGTGTTGGTGGCGGTGACGGTGTGGAACCAGAAAGGCAGCCGCAACAAGTTCAGGAAGCGAGGAGTTTACCACATCCCCGCTGAACACGAGAGCTGGGAGGACATCCGAGAAAACATCCTCAACTACAACGAGGAGGGAGGGGGGGAGCAGGACCAGGTACACACACACACTCACACACACACACACACACACACACACACACACACACACACACACAAAAATGTGGAAATTAGTGGCGGTCACGTAGTAACGTCTCAGCACTGATGTGATTTCTGGCTCATGTTTCTTCTTCTTCTGTGTTTTATTTGAAGTGTTGATCCATCAGAAGATATAAAAACCATCTCAGTGTAGTTTTACATCTCCTCTCTCAGGCTTCTCTCTGCAGCTCTAGTAACAACAGGTCAGTGAGCCAATCAGAAGAGAGGAGGCTCTGAGCCTCTCTTCTGATTGGCTCAGGGGTGTTGTATTGATGTAACAGATTGTACAGGTGTTCCTAATAAAGTGGCCACTAAATGAGTATAACCTTGTGACGACAGGTCTGACTGTGTCCGTCCTTGTTTCCCTCCAGAATGGTTATGACATCACAGAGCTGAAGCGTCCTCTGTGCTCCAGTCTGTCCCAGTCGTCGTCCTGCACCACCGCCCCCCTCATCAAGTCTTCCCCCGGCTCCCAGGAGGAGGTGCACCCGTCCAGCTCCTCCTGCAGCTCCGGTGCTCCCTACCTCAGCATCCCGCATCACCACCACCACCACCATCAGCACGCCGCCGCCGGCTACACCAATGACGCAACCTACGCCAACTACGCCGCTCACGCAGGCAGAGATGTGGAGACGAGCGACGCGGGCAGCTACGTGGACGCCGCTCAGCCGGCGTTGTCGCGGTCCCACGTGGACTTTAAGAGCTACGTGGCGCGGATCATCTGGGAGGCCGACAACGACGGCGAGGCGTTCCCGCCGGACGCCTACCACGTGTGGTGCGTGGAGGGCTCGGGGTCGTCGGCGGGAAGCCTCAGCTCCCTGGGGTCGGCCGCGTCACGTGGAAACGTCACCGCCGCTCAGGGCGAGGAGGAGGAAGAGGAAGATGATGAAGGAGGGTTTGTGTACGACAGGCTGTCGCGCTGGGGCCCCAAGTTCCACGCCCTGAGCGAGATGTACGACCGGCCCCAGCTGGCGCTCTCATACAGGGACGCCATAGCTTACATACAGAGGAGCCACAGCCACGACCCCCTGCCTCATCACCACTAGGGGGCGCTGCTCGACCCCGCCCACCTGCACACAGTTAAAACAGACTGTGCTGCGTTCACGTCACGTCTGAAAAACTTCACAATCAACTTTTAAAAATAGAATCATTTTTATTCCCCGTCACTGTTTTTACTGTAAACGACAAACGACCACAAAGTCTGAAATGTTAAAACTGTTTAATCAACGACCTCAAAACACAAACCGCCCTGGAACAGCTGTTTCTCCGCTGGCTCCCTGATGTGACGTGAATGCAGCAGCCCCCCCCCCCCGTGTAGGTCGAAGGCGGCGGTGAAGCGACGATGCTTTCAGGTCTGGAGGTTCAGGATGAGACACTAATGACATCAGAGGTCTGAGTTTAAACCCACAAAGCACACAGCTCGTTCTTGTACCAGCTTTACATGAGAATACGTCGTGAAACTTTATTTATTTTTGCTTTTTCTTCTTCGTTGAAACTTCACGTGTATTTATTTCTTTTTTCTTTTCTTTTTTTTTTTTTTGTGGGTTGCCGAGTTTTATTCTTTAGAAATGTGGGAAAGTACAATCAGACTGTCTGAGATCTTTAATTTTAATCTCCTTACGTACAGTTTTAATTCTGACCCTCCCACACGAACCAAAACCCACAAACGAAAAGTCAAGTTTCACAAAAGAAACTCGCTGAAGGACAAATTTCTTCTTAGACTTTTATTTTTTAAGAAACATCCACTCACTCCACAGATCAACCGAACCTCCGACAGACTCGTTAACCAGCTTTTAATTTCTCTTTTCTAACCTTCCTGTTGCACTAACGGACGATTCAGAGAAGAATCTATTTGCCGGGAAAAAAAAACAAAAAAGATAATTTGAGCTCAGCAGGTGAAACATGTAAAATAAGCTTTGATAGGATGAGAGATTATTTTTTTACTCCCGTGTAGAAACTTCCCAGAAGCTCCTCTCCACTTGCGGTCGGTCGTGCACCGTGTTAACGTGCTGGGTGGCGTCGCAGATGTTTTTATAACCATCGGTTCAGAGGAAGCAGCTCGTCGTGTTGAGTGTTGGAGCCGACGTTATTCTCCACGTCACATCTGGTGTTTCCGAGGCTGAACTTCTGATTGATGGCGTCCAGTTTTCAAAACTGCAGATCAGTCGAACGTGTTCATTCGTTTATTAATGACTAAACTATTGAAGAAGCACAAACAAATTAATTATTCTTAGAACAATCACACGTGTCGAGAAAACAGCAAATTTCTGCTTTTAAAGAAGCAGGAACCAAAGAGTTTGAATTAAATGATTCAGTCACAAAATTCTAATTTAACTTCTGCTAAAATGTTTTTTGTGCTCAATCAATAGTTTTGTCATTTCTTAACTTCCATACGATCAGTGTTCAGTTTGGTTCAGACTGTGCGAGTCAGTATTCACACACAGTCGGCCCGGAGACGTTTCTTAAAGTGTCTCCCGCTGACGGGGAGACGAGGACCCAGGAGGCGTGGTCAGTCCCTCACAGGTAGATTTGTCACCTGGACGGGACACAGATACTTTTCAAACGGCCAAATGTGATTTTTAATCAAACAAAGATGTGACGCAGCGATTCAGCAGAGCGGTGTCTGACGGCTGTTTACCTCTCGGCTCCGTGTGTCGCCACGACACCGTCTGATGAATGTAGTTTTATAAAAGCAGAGCGAGGAAACCTTCAGGGGTTTCAGGAGACAGGTGGAGGGAGTTTGAGCGAGCAGAGAGTACAATCATTGACGAACAAACGCGTCCAGATATCTGAAAGGGTTTTAACGGCACTTCAGGTCGTGTTTCTCTCCCAGAATGCACTTGTAGAGCAGCGATTAAAGTCCTGAGATATTTTTATCCAAACGATCCTGGAGTTTTTAGTGTGGAAGCAGATTTTTTCCAGAAGATATTTTCCTTGTGTTCTGCAGTTTTATTTCTCCTCTGGTTCCTGATGAAAAGCAGAATTGTACTCAAAGCTATGCATCCAAATGAAACAACACAGGTGTCTTTTTCTGAACTGACGTGACTCCAAATGTTGTGATGAGTGTCGACCTGTTGCTGTGTGCGACAGCTGTTGATGTTTGTTGTGAATCCAGTGTTTTTAAAGCAGTTTACTAAGTGTGTGTGTGTGTTGACTTCACACACACACACACACACACACACACACACACACACACACACACACGTTGTATTGGACTGAGAGTGTAAAGCGGTGTGGATCTGTATGATATGATGTACATATGGACGTTTTATAGCAGCCTAACATGGACTATTCCTTTTGTATATGACTTTTAATAAAAAGGCTTTTTCCCCAAAAAGTTTGGTTTGAGTTTAAACTTTGTTTGACAGAAGAAGAGGACGGAGGGAAGACAAACACCTGGTTCCTACAGATTCACACTTTATATTACTTTTCATGCAAGTTACTGCAAAGACCAAATGCATGAGACGGGACAAATATAAGTCAAACAGTTGGAGACTCGTGCAACACAAATCATAAAAAGATTTTTTTTTTAAATTAAACTGATTGAAGGCTTGAATTCAGAACACTCACCACAAATCAATAATTCAATGTTTTATTGTTGATTTTCTGATTTTAAAGGAAAGATAAGATTGCAGGTGAAATCTAAAATCAGAGCTGACTAGATCAAGTTTATGAGAACATGTCACATTCATGCAGCTTTCTGTTTATGAGCCTCACACAGTTCACAGAGGTGTCTTTGTCCAGGTGACGTGATTTTTGGCTTTTAAAGTGAAAAGAAGTAAATATAACATCTGCAGTAAACTGACAGTAAAATGAGCTTTTCTTCAAATGTTAATGTTGATTGTTATTATTGTGTTATCGCCCCCCTGCCAAGTCACGACTTAGATATTAGATAACAACAAACTTTTGCAAGTCACAGATACCAATTCATTTCTTTCTCCTTTATAACTTCCTGAAATAAGAAATAACAGAGCATTTACATTTTAATGTCAGTTTAGTGCAGGTTATATTTAGTTCTTTTCACTTCACAAAACAATTAACAAAATGATGAATTTGCTGAAACATTTGCACAAAAGTTAAAATCTATAGAAGACCTGTAGCATGTTCTGAAACTGATCCTGCTGATGACTTAAAGTGTGTTCAGGTTCAGTGTTGTGGTGAGCAGAGAGAAAAAAATGCAATAGACCAGTCAAAGTAATGAGAGAGAAAGACTTACATAGATTGTGTTTGATATTTGCTGATAGTGCGTACACTGCACTGTGTGGTGAGTTCTGAGATTTCACGGTTCTGGATGATTATCGCTGTAATCTTAACTCTTTATAGTGAGTTGAAACAAATCTTAACTCTGTTTCGACACATGACGGTGCATTAATAGTAAGTGTGTAAATTTTGCCTTATGAACTATGACAGTGATGAAGAGAGTCATAGTATAGGTAATCGTGCAATATATACTGTAAAAAACGGAGTAAGTATGGATAATAAAATGATAACACGTTATATATAGTATCGTGCAAAATAATGAAAAAATACGGTCATAGTCAGATATGTGCATAAAATGAAAACCTCAAGTATAATGAGTATGCAAAAAAATGAAAAAAGATCATAGATTAGTAAATGGCATAAAGATGAAAAAAACGTGAGTAAGTATGGCATAAAAAAGGAAAAAAAAGTTTCATAGTAAGGTAGTGTGCATAAAATGAAAATAAAAAATCGGGGTTTAAAAATAAAGTAAATACGTGGGAAAATAATGAAACAAACTAAAGAAATGTAGGCAAAAAGTATAAGATGTGCAAAAATATGACAAAAGTCAAGACTACGGACAAAAAGGTCATAGTATAGTACGGCAAAAAAATGAAAAACGTCAAGTATATTTATGCATAAATGAAAAAAAAGTATAAGTAAAATGTATGGAGAAAATGATAAAACGCATAGTAATACTATGCATAAATGAAAAAAAACCGTCATAGTATAGTACATATAAAATGAAAAAAAAAGTCATATATAGATGATAATGAAAAAAACATATAGTATACGTTCGGCATAATATGAAAAAAAAACGTATAGTATAGTATGGCATAAAATGAAAAAAATCAATAGTATAACGTAGCTAACAATGAAAAAAAATCATAGATACTGTATGGCATAAAAGAAAAAACTCATAGTATAGGTATGGGCATAAATGAAAACGTCTAGTATAGGAATCAAAGCTCAATATAAGTATGGAAGAAATTGAAAAAAAACGTCCAGTAATGTGTAAGGATAAAAATGAAAAAAAAGTCATATCGTATATGTGTAGATGATAAAACGTATAGTAAGTAATCAAAAATGAAAAAAACATCAAGTATATACGCATAAAAATGAAAAAACGGTCATATTGTAATATAAGGAAAAAAGTCAATTCTAGTAGAGCATAAAATGAAAAAAGTCATAGTATAGTATGGAAAAAAATGAAAAAAAACGTCATAGGGTATACTAGGCAAAAAAATGTCATAGTATAGTATGTGCAAAGAAAATGATTCTAAAACGTCATAGATACAGTAAGCAATAAAATAAGAAAAAAAACGCGTATATTGTAATCAAAAACGTAAAGTATATGTAATGGATAAAAATGAAAAAACGTATATTATTAGTTGGCATTATAAATTGAAAAAAAGTCATAGGTATATGTTAATAAACGTTCATATATGTATAGTAGCTAAAAAGAAAAACGTCATGTAGTTGGAAAAAAAATGGAAAAAAACGTCAATAGTATAGATGAAGGTCAAAAAACGTCATAGTAATATATGGGAAAAAAATGAAAAACTATAGTATATTAACAAAAGTATAGTATAGTCTGCAAAATGAAAAAAAGTATAGAAGTATGGCAAAAAAGAAAAAAAGTATAGAAGTAGAGCTAAAAAAACGCATAGTAAAGTAAATCATAAAAATAAAAACCAAACTCATAGATAGTAATGGCATATAAAGAAAAACCGTCATAACGTATGTATCGGCATAATGAATGAAAAAAACGTCATAGTAAGACTGGCAAAAAATGAAAAGAAAGTCA